GATAGATCGGGCTAAAAGACTGTATACATAAAGGCACCTGGGGGCAAGAGGCTCAACCGAAACATATTAAGCCTTCTTTTTCCAGTTGCACTGACATTCCAAGGAACAGCTGCATGCAAAGAAGCAAATCAAGATCAAGAGCCAGGCCCTTAGTTCTGCATTGCCAGTCTTAATTCGCTTTGTAACTATGGTCTCTAGAGTTATTAAAGGGTGGAAGCAGGGAGACGGGGGCTCCCTCAGAGAAACCTCTCCCCACCCCTTCTATCTGTACCCGTTTATTAAAATCGTGCTCCAAATGAAAACCATTCAGGGAGAGGGGCAAAAAATGATCAGGGATTGTCCTTATGAAACTATGCTCCTAATGCCACCTCAACCAACAAAAACAAGAGGTGGAACTCCAGGGAAGCAATAAGCATGTGTGAGTGAGCCAGATCTTTGTTCACTCCTTATGAATCGCTGTTGAAGAGATAAGCCTCTTAAATTGAGCAGCCACTTGCCTCTTTGGCAGAAAAAAAATGAAGTGAAAAAGTCTAGCCACGCATAGGGTTCCCTGCCATGCATATGAATCACTTCTTTGGACTGCAGTCATGGTTCTGTTTTTGGTTTTTTTTTAAAGTCACTGTTTATCAAAACCACACCTGGTCTGTTAAGGAATAATGCTACAACTGATCAATCAGGGTGTCTACTGACTAAAGAATGAATACCCTTGCCAGACCCGTTTTGTAAGTCCTTTTTGCTTACTTGTTACCTACCAGGTGCTCTACACTACAGCACACTATGATGGGGATATGCACTTCGCGTACTAGGGGGAGGGCCTATGGTACTGCGGTAGAGAGATCATGCTTTGCAATGTGAGGTTCAAAGCTCTAAAGGTCCTGTTGAGGGGGGGTGAGATAGCAGAGATGAGCAAGACCTTTGAAAGTCAGCCAGGATAGACAATTCTGGATTAAATGGATCAATCATCTGACTGTATATAGACCAGTTTCATATGCATACCATTACACATCTAAGGTCCCAGGGAATTAATATAGCCAATGGGAGAGCCACTTAAGTTAGGAAAAGTCTTCAAACTTGAGTCAAAAGGTTAAAATTGTACAATGCAAAATCGTACAATGTAAACCGCTCAAAGCCCTTCGGGGATGAGCAGTCTAGAAATTGAAAGTTAAATAAAAAATAAATAAAATAAATATTTTAACAAATAATTAAATTTTGCTCAGTGGAGTGGTTGGCTAAAGGCAAGTTCCACCTCATTATCTTCAGAACTTCCTTAAGCATCTGAATCTGCCAATTACTTAGGCAAGATTCAAGTCATTACAAGACAAGGAAGGGGTAGCAGTCACATATCAAGGCAAAGGCAAAGGAAGATTCCCTTGAAATCTACCTCAACAGCCTAACATAGATCATTAAATCTTCAACCATAACACAAATCACAACTCCAAACCTGTCTCACAGAAATTTAGCCCTAAAATACAAATCTCATCTGCTCCATCAGTTGGGGAAAAAACAGAAACACAAAATATCAATCCAGTTTTTTTTAAAAAAAAATTCACAAAACATTCAGAAATAAAAGTTTCCGAAATGTCAAAATGGGAAGTTTTAGTACATCCTAGCAGACAAGCTCAGAGTAAAAAAGCAAGAACAGAGAGAGAAAGCTTGACTGCTCTCAGAGGATGTGTGTAGTGTACCTTCCCGGTTGGGGAAGACAGAGAACATGTCCTGCTAGGATAATTTAAGCATGGGCTTGTGGCAGGAAAAGGTGTCCTTCAGATACCTGGGCTCCAAGTTTTAATTGCAATGAAGTCCGAGAAGCACAAGTCCTGTCCATTCACTGTCCGAGCAATCCAGGGAATGCCACATGCAGGTGGCAGCAATAAAAAATAAATAAAATAAATATTTTAACAAATAATTAAATTTTGCTCAGTGGAGTGGTTGGCTAAAGGCAAGTTCCACCTCATTATCTTCAGAACTTCCTTAAGCATCTGAATCTGCCAATTACTTAGGCAAGATTCAAGTCATTACAAGGCAAGGAAGGGGTAGCAGGTCACATATCAAGGCAAAGGCAGATTCCCTTGAAATCTACCTCAACAGCCTAACATAGATCATTAAATCTTCAACCATAACACAAATCACAACTCCAAACCTGTCTCACAGAAATTTAGCCCTAAAATACAAATCTCATCTGCTCCATCAGTTGGGGAAAAAACAGAAACACAAAATATCAATCCAGTTTTTTTAAAAAAAAAATCTCACAAAAACATTCAGAAATAAAAGTTTCCGAAATGTCAAAATGGGAGGTTTTAGTACATCCTAGCAGACAAGCCCAGAGTAAAAAACAAGGACAGAGAGAGACAGAGAGAGAATGCTTGACTGCTCTCAGAGGATGTGTGTAGTGTACCTTCCCGGTTGGGGAAGACAGAGAACATGTCCTGCAAGGATAATTTAAGCATGGGCTTGTGGCAGGAAAAGACGTCCTTCAGATATCTGGGCTCCAAGTTTTAATTGCAGTGAAGTCCGAGAAGCACAAGTCCTGTCCAGGGAATGCCACATGCAGGTGGCAGCACTGATGCATACCCACAGTTGCCAAGTAGAAGAAGGGCTTCCCTACTAACTTCAGTTTTGGAAGCAGCCCTTTGATTGCCTCGGTGGTGCTAAGAGAACAATGCTGGACTCTGAAGTCAATGGGAAAGGCTTGTACAAGCGAAAGGAGAAAGGAACTCCTTAGAGCCGACATTTGTAAGCTCCTCTGTCAACCTTTCTTTCTTAAAGGAAAAATTAAAAAAACTAGGCTCAACCACAGAAGCCGTATTCTTGTAGGTAAAGGCATAAGGACTCGTCCACCAAAACAATTATTTTGCTCACTGACTAGGTCAACAACTCAACTCCTTCTTGGTTTTAGCCGTAGCTACGGTTGCCAGCTCTGGGTTAGGAAACACCTGGAGATTTTAGCAGTGGAGTCTGATGATAAAAAGCATGATAAAAAGTAGAGACATCACCCTGCCAACAAAAGTCCGCATGGTCAAAGCAATGGTAATCCCAGTAGTCATTGTATGGCTGCGAGAGTTGGACTATAAGGAAGGCCGAGCGCCGAAGAATAGATTCTTTTGAACTATGGTGCTGGAGAAGACTCTTGAGAGTCCCTTGGACTGCAAGAAGATCAAATCAGTCAATCCTAAAAGAAATCAACCCTGACTGTTCCCTGGAAGGCCAGATAATGAAACTGAAGCTCAAATACTTTGGCCACCAAATGAGAAGGGAGCACTCACTGGAAAAGACCCTGATGCTGGGAAAGATTGAAGGTCAAAGAAGAAGGGGACAGCAAAGGATGAGATGGTTAGACAGTGTCATAGATGCAATGAACATGAAATTGAGCCAACTTCAGAGGACGGCGGAAGACAGGAAGGCCTGGCGTGATCTGGTCCATGGGGTCGCGAAGAGTCGGACTCGACTGTGCGACTGAACAACAACAACTGAAGACTACGAGGCTTGGGGAGGAGAGGGAATGCAGTGGGATATGATGCCATTAGAATCCACCTTCCAAAGTGACCACTTTCTCCAGGTGAACTGATCTCTGCCACCCAGAGATCAGCTGTAATAGGGGGATCTCCAGCCACCACCTGGAGGTTGGCAAGCCTAGCTGTAGCCTCTCAGCCTTGGCTTTGCCCACGACTCACCAGATTCCACCAATTGGCCCCATACAAGGGACAGGTATTTTAGAAGTCAAAATTTGCCAGTCCTATGTCACCCCAGACTGTGGACACTGGCTTGTGCCTGACCGCTCTCTTCAGCAAAGTCTGTAGTAACCTGTCTAGATTCCTATGGGCCTGTATGACAGAATTACTCCTCTGGGCCTTCCATTGAAGCAGTCTTACTTGGCCTACTATCAGCTTCTCTGATGGTTATGCCAGAGTGCCAGTGTGTTAAACTGTTTTATGCAGGGGTCATTTCCTGCGGGAGCGCACAGGAGCGGAGCTCTGGCAGTAAGGAGCCCAGGGGGCGGGCACATGCAACAAGCCCCGCCCCCTGCTCCCAGTAGCCCTCAGTTGGGCGACGAGGAGCAAGAAGCAGCCAGGTAAGTTGCAGAGCCCCCCCCAGCCCACCTTCAGGTGCAAGCTCTCCCTCCTCTGTGAGGGCAGATCTGCGCGTCCCCCCACCCCAGCTAGCAATCCAAAACAGTCCAGTGGCACCTTTAAGACCAAGTTTTATTCAGGTACAAGCTCTCCCTCCTCTGTGAGGATCTGCACGTTTCCCCCCCCCCCAATAGCTAGCAATCCAGAACAGTCCAGTGGAGCCTGAGTGGTGGGTGTTGCCTTCTGACACACTTCCAGTGATGTCAGGGGGTGTGGCATATGCTAATAAGTTATGCTAATGAGCTCCTGCACCTCTTTTTCTATGAAATGACCCCTGGTTTTATAGAATATTTGTATTTTCATTTATGTTGTTGACCATCCCAAGTC